GGCAATTTTTTGTTTTAACCCATGACTTTTTGCTGTACTGTCTCTTCCATCCCATCCGTCCTTATCCCATGGACTGTGTGGCCTGAAAATGTCCAAATTATTACACCTCCATAAAATGTGTTTTCTGAATCACCCTGTTAGTTCAAAAAGGCACGAGTATTAAGGAAGCCAAACGCTAAAGTCAGTTAGCAGCCCACTGGTTTCCAAAGACTTTTTATGAGTAGGTAATCCTCAATTTAAAGATGCAAATACTGGTTGCTTTTGTTCTAACCAGTTCCATTTCTTGTGTTTCGGGGGTCATTTCTGAATCACGTTATTCCCTTAAATCTTTCATTGTGAAACTTTGCCACTAAGAGGGCTTGTTCTCTAGTTACTTTACACATACTACTTCCAGGATAAAGCCTCAGTGGCTCTGAGCTGCCAGAGGTAAGGTGAGACACTCCTCAGAGCTCATTTACAAGTATCTGAGCGCGATCATGTGAGGTTGCAGGTGACTCTGAGATTCTTCCACCTTTTCTTGCTTCCAGTCTTCTTACAGGGACTCAGATGTTTTCTTGTAGTTGAGAAAACCGTTGTGCTGCTACTGTTGATTTTTCAAATGTGATACTTTAAAAAATTTTCAGTGCAGGAATGGAATAACAAACAAGTTGTTTTTTAAGAAAACAAAATCTCTCCCTTTAGGGGTCTTTTATAGTTTACTTTGTTCCTCAGCACTGGGATTTTACAAACCTGTTTCTGGCTTGCAATCTCACTTGGAGAAAGCAAATCTCCAGCTTTTGTTGATAAGGTTGATTGTGTTTTGAGTTTTCTTGTTTTAAAATAAGAAACATTTACATGTTTTATGTGCTCTACATATATATAAAAGAAATCATTAGCAGTGCCCAAAGTTAATAGCCTAAGAATGTATCGCATAATATACTGCAGTGTCACTGATAGAGTGAAAAAGATTTAACATAGGACTCAGGGGGAGAAAGTATAAACAGTATGAAACTATCACTACTCCAACTAGTTCTGAAAGAGCTCAATGTGAAACCGACCAGAAAATGATCATCCCACAACCATAAATATAGAACACTAAAAAAGACAAAAGCTCTCCGGCATTGTGAAAAATCCATAAATAAAAAGCACCCCCAAAGCATTTGCTGGCAAAAGTATTTAGTGCGGCAATAAAAAAGAGTATTTGTTTTCTTTATATTAAGTGATTTTTTTATGGAATCTGTACAATTAAACACTACACAAGAACATCACAACTGGAGTTTTCGTTCATACCTAATTGAGTACAAAATCAGGAAAATGCAGAATCTGAAGACGCTATGTGCTTTACATTGCATAGTCAAGGTTACGTGTAATGTTTTGTTAAGTAAAAAGTGTCCCATACTGAAAAAAATCATTTTTTGAATGTACATATATACATGCTGACACACAATATGAAAACAAGATTATCTTTTATAGCTTTACATTTAAATATAAGAGTTGCATTCTGAGGTAGATAGCTCTGCTCCAAAAGACAATTCTATCAGGCCCACCTTCCTATCAGATATATTTTAGTTAAGGAAGATGCTATCTTATTTCATTTTGTCGATATTTATTAGGCTACATAAGAAAGGAAGATTTTTCTTAAAGGTGAAGTTGTCAGCTCAAAGGAAGCTACAACAGACCTCAGCACTAAGTCCTAAGCACTTAGAATAAGTAGCAGCAAATTAAAGAATAAATGTGACAAATTGCATACAATATCATCTTCATTTAGCAAGTTAAAGACTTCCACATCTTAATAGAACATCAGGGATTGTAATGTTGCTAATGAACCTAATAATGCTAATCATAACAGTAGTGTTACCTTATATGTGTTTTGTCCTTTGATGAGTTCAAGTGACTACAGTGGATGAGTCAGCAGTTGCACCGCTCACATTCATTTTATGGTGTATAGAGGCCATTAGGGCCCCCAGGTGGACAGAACTGCTGGTAATGAAGGCACAGCGACAGAGGCTGGGATAACCTTTGCCTCCACCCCAATACCACTCACAAAGGACTTGCTAGCGCAATGTCAAGTGGAACCATGTGCCCTTCCAATGTCTCAACTCTCCTGAGGAAATGCAAAAGGGAAGTATTATCACTGCTAGTTTGGACCACATGCAGTTTCCAAACACTGCCTTAAAAATTACCCACATGGATAGCAGTTTCATGTGGGTGCAAACTAGTAACTGACAAACTTACTACAGATCTTGATCCATTGAGAACAGTTTGCCTATTGCAAAAGGGGGTTCTTAAACTGGTCCAACTCTATTTGTTTTATACAAATCTTTTCTCTCTGAGAACGAGAGCAATTTGAGGCATAGACACCTAGTTATACCAAAGAGTAAATCAAACCATGCCACTTTAGAATTTACAAAGAACTTTTAAGATATTAGGCTCTGTAACCTCACAACAATCCTTTAAGATCATTATTGCTATCACCTTTTTACAGGCAGGAAACCAAGGCAAAGAGAAGTTCAGTGAGTTCCCAGAGATCACCAGGCACTTAATGTTCAAGCCAGGATTCAAGTACAAATCTCCTGCTTTGAAATGCAGTGTTCTTTCCACTTTATTCCAGTGCCTATATCAGCAATTGTGAGTGCCTTTCAAACATCTACAATGTGGAAGGCACCATGATCTGTAATGGTTATATATGGATGGAGGTGGATCAGGGAAAAAGCAAATTTAAAGCTAATTTCTCAGGTTCCAAATCTATGCACCAGGGAGGATTTCCCCATATCAACAAATATAGGGCATTATTGAGGTGAAATGGGATTTAGAGGCAAAGACCATAAGTGTAAGTTTAAGCTCAGTGTTTGAAATTTTGTAGTATATCTTGGGGGTGGCCAATAGCAACAGAGCTCAGGAAGGAAGCTGACAATTGGGATGAGATTACCGCAGGAAGCTGGATGAGATCAATTACGGAAAAGAAAGCAAGGGGAGGAATTGCTGTGAATAAAATATCAGGGAACATAGATGGCAGGGAGGAACACACATATTAAGAAAGACAGAAAAAGCGAAGTCTCATTACAGAGAGTGGAAAAATTAGTCTTAAGATAGGGAAGGACACTACATTCTCAAAGATAAAAAGAAAAGACAATGAAATGTAGTAACTGCATAAAGAAATTGTGACCTGGAAGGAAGTAGAAATGAGGAAGTGCATGCTGCATAATCCCAACTTTCTCATTAACAACACATGAAAGAGAAGGGATATGTCCTCAAGAGTAACATTTTGGGACGGCTACTGCAGGGGAAATTAGAAGGAACTAGAGATAAATAAAAGCAAATCTGCTTAGTAGGGAGGACCTAAGTGTGTTGAGTGAATTTGAGTATGTAGCGGAGAAATCATCAGAGTTACCAGGAAATCATCCCAAGGGTAGAGAAATAGAAGAATTTAACCGGGTTTAGGAAATAAACAAGAAACTTACAATGTAAGGTAAAAGGAATGAGAGATATTTTAACATGACTTGACAAGTTAGCTAAGATGGCTAAACATAAAGTCTAAGCTATAAAGGCAAGAGAGAATGGAAACTAAACAAAGATTTCAACAAATCAGGTTCAGTAGGTATGGGGTAATAGAGTATAAAAATACAAACTGTGTGTTGATTTAGTAGGCTGGACATGCAATCTCAAATTCTCCATTACTTTTTCCTCCGACTTTCATTTTCAACCATTTACGTTATCTGCCTGTCCCTTGAGAACATCTGAGTTTGTAACTATTTGTTAAAACTGTCTCCCTTCTTTACTTCTCATTATCTCCTAAATACCCTTTGTATTAGCTTCCCATAGCAGCTGTAAAAAAATAGCACAAACTAGGCAACATAAAACAATAGAACTATATTCTCTCACAGTTCTGAAAATCAGAAGTCAGAAATCAGGGTACTGGTAGGGCCGTGCCTTTTGCAGGTTTAAGGGGAAAACTGTTCCATGCCTCTTGTCACCTTCTACGGGTTGTCACAAGGATGTATCTTTGGGGCCACCATTCAATCCACTTTATACTTCAACCTATCTTCTATCCACATCCACTCCAAAACACACACACACATACACACACACACACACACACACACACACACAATGCCACTTAACCAATCTTCATTAATAGCACTGTTTTCTTCCTAATTTTTTGTTATAAAGCTTTGGTTTTCAAGAGGTTTTCTACAGTACTGGACATCACTAACAATTGCAGATGTCTCCAAACACCTTGCTGGACTTCTAGGATCCTACTTTCCTTTTTCATTCTTCATGCCATTCCTGTTGGGCTCGTTTATTAATACCACCTGCTCCCCCATCTACCTCTTAAGTGGTGATGAACACCAGAGAGCCCCCTCTTCTCGCCTCATTTTTTACTCTCTGTATAAAGTCACGTTCACAGTTTCAACTACATCTCCGTGTTCACTATACCTCGTCTATATCCAACCCTGACTTCCTGCCTGATTTTTACACTAGCATCACCCAATGGAATTCGCTGTTCCGATGGACAGATGCTGTATCTTCATTGTCTAATGCAGTAACCACTAGCCACATACAGCTACTGAACACTTGAAATGTGATCAGTGCTACTGAGAAGGTACATGCTTAATATTTTTCTTTTAATACATTTAAATTTAAATAGCCACAGTGGTATTGACTATCTTGTTGGAGAGCGCCAATCTAGTCTCCTCTACTCTATATGTCGGTCCTAGCGAATCTGCTGCCAGCCACACAGTATGTCTTTCCACATACTCTTCTCTTTGCTGGGATAAGCCACCATTTATCCTTCAGGACTCAGCTCATCTGTGAAACCTTTTCAACAACTCCAGGTTGAATGACTTGACCCCACTTTTGTCTTTCTACAACTCATTTTCAATAACGTATTTATATATAAATATATAAACTTAATTTATATGTTTATATCTGTTTCCCTCACTACACCATGAACTCATTGAAGAACAAGGCTCTATCTCTATTTCTTTACAAGCCATCACAGGACCTGGCACTTGCTCATTGAATCAATTAAAGCAATGAGTGACTGCATTGTGCTTAGAAGTCACCCTGCATTGTCTTAGAGATAAAGCATATCAAGTTGCAAATTTTAAAATACAAGGGGCTTCCACTCTCCTACATAATCTCCTCATGAGAATGGCCAGGTAGGGACAATTCAGGAAGCTTTTAAATCTGTGCATTACATAACACAGAATCTTGTGTTTTGTTTGTTTTGGTTTGATCTTAGTTTTAGTTTTTAATGTTGCACTTTTAGAAGCCTTAAAAACTATAAGTGGCATAAACTATAAGTTGGCTATAAACTATAAGTTGGCTAAAACCTATAACATGGCTAACAGGGCACATGAGCCATTTGGCTGTCACCCTTCAGGCTTAAAGTGCAAATCATTCTAGGAATCTCTCTTTTCTGGAATCTGAAATATAGTCATTTGGAGAATTCCAAAGAGCGATGCATGATTTTTCAAAAACATGCTTTTAAGAAAAGAGAGCTGACTGTTTTGTTTTGTTTTGTTTTGTTTTGTTTTGTTTTGTTTTTTGGCCAGAGGAGGAAAGGAGAGAAAAAGAGATATTCTGCTCTCATTTTGGCCATAGGATGTGCATGGGAGTGTGTGCATCTGTTAATGGAGTGAAGGATAGCATTAGTAAAGGGTTAGGCAGGCATGCACACTGTAGAGAAGGCAACTCATGGAGCCTTTTTCTGTTTCTGTGCATTCAGCCCAACCTTCATTGCGTATGGCTGCTCTTTTTATGAAAATTGGCACATATTTAACTGCTATAGCTGTTGGCATCGAGGCTTAGTTTTACCCACAGAGGAGGCATTCATTCACATTTTAGCTATCATTTCCATTAAAGCTTGCAAGCACAAATGGTACCCCATCTAAATGGATAAGGCACAACCAAATAAATATATCCCCTGAATACCCTAAATATGGGGTATCTAGAAACATGGTGGTGATACTTATTGAAAGTGACATTAACTACAAACCTAAAATTTTCCTTACTAAGTATATAGAAAAGCCAAATCATCTTTGTGCAGAAGGCAGGGAGTAGCAATTCCATTAAGATATTACATGGAAAAAAAGCTTCAATCTCATTTTGTCTATTTCAAGCTCCATTTTATTCATATTGTAACTTACAGAATCATTCAGTGAAATAGAGTGGGAGGAAGAATATGGGCTACAATTCCTTGGAACCTTAGATACATTTTTCTTTCCTGTTTTATCTATGCTTGCAGGCGACATCTCCTTAATGAGAGTCTTCAAACTTCTTTGCCTTTTAGAAGTATCTCTGCTGTGCCCTGGGACACCAGTCACTGATTTTAGCTTTTAAATATGCATGATATAAAGTAATTTTTTTCCTTAGCACTATTCATTGTTTTACCTGTCTTAATGAGAATTATAAGTTTGATTAATGGGCAGAAAGATTTGGCCACTGTTAAGAGTCCTTATCTCTATTCCTCCCTGAGGCATGATGCTTCCAACAGCCTCTGAATACTTAAGAATAATATCTGCAAGTGAATATTAAAATAAAAGTAAAAATAAAAGTGTGATTGTCTATCCACAGTCCTGGCATTAGTGGTGACCATTTATATTAAAAGAATTCATAAATATATCCATACATTCAGTCATACATTCATGTATTCATTCAACAAACAAGAGGCAGTGTGCTTGGCACTGTGAAGAGTGTGGAGCGATTTTAGGTTCTATTAAATTAAAATGAGACAGTGGCCAACCATTAAGCTTTACATTATATGATAACGAAAATGGGTATGGGAAGGGAAGGTCCTATTTGTTCTGTTTTAATTTGGTCGCTAGCTATGTATACTTAATCAAGTAGATAATCAGGAAACCCCTGTGTTCAGTGAATTAATAAAAATCTATGAGACCTACTGCTGCTGAAACAAATGACCAATCTTGGAATCCACAGGTGCTACAAAAATAACCACAAATAACTAGGCAACTAGTCCCATCATCACCGGGAGGGAATGCTTTGAGTCAAACATGCATATTTATCGCCCAAGTAGCTCTTAAAGGTGAAGTAATCCTTGTAGGTTTACTCATGAGCTCAAGGAAGAAGGATTACTTAAAA